AACTGCAACGATTGCGCTAAGGTTTATATAGGACAAACTACCAGGGAATTGAACACCAGAATCGGTGAGCATAAAAGAAGGATTAACAAACCACCAAGGAATGCAGAAGAATACCAAACGCTGGTCAAAGACTCAGCGATGGAGGTACATAGACACGGGGCATAAAATAGATCTGAAGAATATGGAAGTTTTAAGACGGAGACTGCGATTCACACCACAGCGGCTGTTAGCCGAGGCGGTGGAAAATACTAAGCATCACAACGTGAATAGAATCGAGGGTGTGGAACTGGCGAGCGTTTGAAAAGCGGTCTTAGATAAGCCGAGTTGACACGTGACTGTGTGGTTGTCAATCCACGCAGAATCATTAGCAAAATCAAATTCCACAGAATCTCTCTCCCTAGCACAGCTCTAGTGACACAGAGACGGATTGAAAGTGCAAACGACGTTCAAGAGGGATCATTACGTGAACGGAACTAGGAGAACTAGGCCCTTGGCTGGACTCAAATCCATGTAAGTCTCCCCATCGGCCAAACACTTAACGACTCACCCTAATACAAAAAGTCCTTTGGCCGACACCTAACGGAGATTTAGTTTGACTTAGTTGATTGGTTCTCTTTCCGCCTTAAATCTTCACCAACATAGTCTCTTAGCCTGACAAAGCTTTTGTGTCAAAAACGAAACATTGCTCAGCAATAAATTTACCGATTGTGACCAAACTTTTCCGAGAACGTTGGCTACTCAATCAGTTCCAAGCATTTTTCACCTGAAGGAAAACAAGGTTTTTCCTCCACTACGACAATTCAGGCAATCTGGCAAGCGCTTGCACCATCAAATCATACCGTATCCGAAACAAGGGTTCTCGGGTTGGTGATGATCATCCGTAACAGCAAACAGCCACAATGCGGTTTAGAAAAAAACATGGCCTAAAGGGGAAATGCCAGCTCTCGTCCAACTGCACGCTGACAACGTATCCTCGTTTGATGAGCTTTAAACTGATCTGAAAGATCGGTGGCACAATTCATAAACGGTGAGTCCCACCAGTCAGTCACATCTGTATTCTTTCCTAGGCTTTGTTAATTAGAATGGTGCGTTTGTCCTTCCCATCAAGAGCATAGGCTCTTCACCTCACTGTCTCAAGCGATTGGTTAGAAATGCTCACAGCCATCGCGGTTATTGATTACTGAGGGAAAACCAACGCCGAACCAAAAGTGAAGTGCCAGCTGCAATATTCGCCGTGAATGAAATTCCTCCACTTGTATAGACCGAATCGCACGGCGGGCTGACTTCTTGCCTTCGGGATACAGTCCATGCTACTGGTCATCTTAAATGCTGTCTTAGTATGCTTCTGGGTACTTTGCGAAACCGCGTCCTGTTAGAAATCGATGGGACTTTGCAGCATGTGCCCCAGTGAGCCTTTGAAACTATGCTGGAAAGGAAGGCTTCGATGCGACACTCGGTTCCCTTGTACCAGGTGAGCCAATGGGCAGAAGTTTGAAAAACGCGGCAATCTGGTACTTCAAGTTGGGCGTTTGGATATGTACGGCGGCTTCATCGCCAAGCCTCACAGTCTTGTGCTCAAGCTTTTGAGACAGTGGCTTTGGATTCGGCATTGCCGCAGCCTGTGTGTATGGACAACCAGTAATCTCGTGTTACATCAGCGCATTCGCCGACCTTGGAAACTGTTCGCAGTGAAAGCCACTGGGATAAATCATGCTGGGAATGCTCAACAATCATTTTGCTGGTCTCCAGAAGTAGTCTACGAGCGAAACTATCAATGACCGAAACCGGATAACCTTATTTCATAGGTCAAGGACGGACAACGCTGGACACTAATTCCAGCGGCATTTTTATAGCTATTTAGTTGGATTCGCAAGCAGAACTAAAACTGTCCTACGGCCTCGGAGGCTTAAGGCTACACAGGTCCTCTCAAACGCATACGGATGACCTGTTCATGGATATGGGTGAGATCCCACTGTGACTGAGAAGAGACTGCTTCACAAACTGCATTCTTACTGGATAAGGCAATCACAGAAGAGTCACCTTGACTCCAGTTGCAAGGAGACTCTTGGCCGCAAACCTTTCCTCATCACCCTATGGTAGACGGTGAAGCAATGGCGCGAGAGCAGGGAGCGAAATTCTGCCTGAAAAAGTTTGCGTCCACCACATATTCCCACCCTTTCGCGGTACAAACAAGTGTTAGTATTTGCGGACTTACGAAACATCCATACCTGTGTCCTCAGAACTCTTGGTCAGTAAGTACCAACCAGGATGTTTCCCAATATAATGCGTCCTTTTTATTTTCAGGCTTTCGGGCTTGGCAGAGTATACGGGGAGCTTTCGAAAGGTTTATTTGCAGGAAACGATGACCAGCATACTCAACCTCTTCATGTTCATTCAATTTCGTCATCAGCATCGAACGAAACCTGACATCTGCGAACAACAGAAGTGAGACATCTTCAGGTATTGGATAACCATTAGCTTAGAACACAAACTTCGAGCTTGTTAGTGCCTACGAGTTCGCAACGATTCGCCTAAATAGTAAATGTTCGGATGTGCAAAACGGACTTCAATCGACAGGTGTCTTTATTATAAAACATGCAATGGTGTTGTCAGCGTATTTTTCATGTCTACTGGAGGGTGTTGCTACCTTTCTTCTCACCACTGACAATTTGGGGTAGTCGCCATATTGTGGAAGACTCTGCTGCCACTAACTTAAATAAGGACACAATTTCACAAAGAGTATTCTGGAGTTAACAGAGGGTATTCCATCGATCGACGTTATACCCATTTGCTTTCCCCTGATGCGATCGTTAAATAACTCCAATATGCCACGGTGAAAAACAGTGCTGGTGAGATTCCAGTTGGTTTCGTGGCTGCAACTTGTTGTTTGTGCCTTCTGAAGGCAACCAGGAGTGTTTATGGTTAAGCCTGCCTTAATTGTGACCAAAATTATTTTTAATCGGCGCGAACTTCCCTACCGAAAGGTCCGTGGTTCGAACCCGAACCCGAACAATCTCGACCATGGTTAAGCCTGCCTTAATTGTGACCAAAATTATTTTTAATCGGCGCGAACTTCCCTACCGAAAGGTCCGTGGTTCGAACCCGAACCCGAACCCGGAATCTCGACCTGATAGTGTTCTGACCTTCCTTCGGTTAGCGTGTCACCCACGCACAGAAATGGTGTTATACCTTCATGAATTGTGACTACGTTTTTCATCCTCATCGGGCTGACTGCGTGGTCTTTAGTTCCGAACTCCTGATAACAGATAATGGAGTCCCTTTTAAAGCGATTGATGATGTTCAGTTCTGTACTTCTCAAAGAATTCAGTGATTCATACGTCGGTGTTAGCGAATTCTCTAAACTGACAATCATAAACGAGCACGTATTCAGTAGACAGGGCGACGCAATAGCTGTATGTTGACCCATCTATTCTCTAATTATCAGGTAAGGACGATTCTGGGCAAGTCAACAAGAACGCTGTTCAAGTTCCGGACAACCTATCAACAATAGTACTGTCAGTCGTCAGTCCAAAGGAGAACTGATGTTCTGACCAGTCGGCAATCGCTGGTTTTGATGTTTCATTGGCCACTTCATCAAACCTCATAACTGGTCCCTTTGCTTTATTGATTTTTGTATTGTATCAGGATGAAAATGGACACAAAGCCAGTCCCAGCTGAACAAACGAAAAAACCGCGGTCCTTGTGTGAGGCCCGCTTCGACACACGTCATCATCATGTTCATCATCATCATCAACGACAGCATGACATCAGTGCTCAACACCGATGCTTCACTGCCGTACAGCCATGACTTATTTGAAAGCCTTATTGTAAAGAAAAGAATAAAGGTGGATGGGGGAGGGATTTAGTGCTAGCTTAACACAATCATTCCGAGGTGCCTACACCTCCAGACATTCATTCAGGCAATCTGGACAGAAACTGACAACAAGAACGCCACTGACATCGGTTGGCAGCCATATCTTGTAGTGTCTCCAACCAGGCACAGTGAGGATCATGCGGTCCATATCCTGAAAGACGAGTAGCACCGACAGCACCCAAGCGTTTGGTGATCTCCTTCATACTCCTCTGCCAAGTCAAGTGTTGGTCACCTATCTGTTTACGCCACTCTCAGATGGGCACTCTCTCTTCGGCAAACGACGGTTCGGCATACGCAACACATGTCCCAACCAACGCAGCTTCTTGTGATGGACACATTCTTCAACGAAAGTACCCGCTGCACAACCGAAAACGCGCTTTCTAACTGCCTCGTTACGGATTCGCCGACACCAATCTACACGAGCTATGGTTCTGCTTGAATTCATCTCATCATATTTGGGGAATGAAACGATGGCAACACAGGACGTGAGGGGCAACGATTTACCACGAATACGTATTTCGTGATCATTACTATAAAAACTATGGATTCACAGGAAAGTTTTATAGTTGCCGTAAGACAACGATCATGTGGACGAATGATCACAAAAGGAGTAGCTTAAGGCCGGCACGTTACAGGCACGTTGGACTATCCTGAAAGAAGGTATATGGCTAAAATATCCACAGGAAGACGCGGGACTTCGACAAAAACTGATTCAATGGTGGTCTCAGTTTAGATTAACAAAGGGCAATGTCTGAAACAGTCGAGCAAACATGAACACTTCGCCATCCGATGCTCGACAGAGCAGAAGAGCCAAGAGGCACACCCGATTCCCAATCGGAATTCAGTACATAGCGGTGCGGAAGTGCAATTTCAACATTGCTTGCAGGAAATTCGATCGAAAATCGATTGTCGAGGAAGTGGATTTGAATTAGTCCATAAACCACCAATATGGAAAGCAGTCCTATAGGATGAGGAAGTTACTTTCCTCGCGAATTTTAAATTTCACACACTGTCTTCTCCCAAATTTGGGTGTTAGTAATCGACTTTCTTTCGAACTGCAAGACTTCGTACCAGTACTCAACTCCGGATAGATTTTTTGCGCCAACGCCATCATAACAGTCAGGTGAAACCAGTGCGGATTGATGGATTGTTAGCAACACACAGCGAATTACTGAGCGACTTTCGTTCACCAAGGAAGCTGTTTCCTGCATGGTTAAAAAATCTGAAATCGTATACATCAGCGTTCAAGAAGTAATCGAAACACTTTCGACACATACGCTCTATATGAACTCTGGCGTGACCTATCAGAACAGCCCAGTATAGTATCGATCCACTCGATCGATACTACGCTTCGATCGACCCGGGCATTTTTGTCTGTGATTTGTATTCTAACGACTGCGTTCAATCTGTACAAGTTATCAACTGTCAGTTACACGTCGAATGCAAGCAAACCCAGCCGTAAACCGTGAGTGGCTCAACACAAACCGACGGCAACTCTGTAGAATGAAATTGATGAATAAGTTAGCCGCAAATCGCACACTGTGTTTCAAAGAATTTCGACTTGCGTAAATACAAGAACCTAATTTCATGGTCCAGTTTTATTTGAAGCCTTGTCCCTCTAGAGCATGAAAAATCAAACTATTCTATGGTCAGCATCCTACCCAACGGGGGAGAGTTGTAGACACTTACCTCGTATGCGCTGGTTAGTCGCAGTTTGTAGTAGACAGGCATGTAGATTTCAGCAGCCAAAGGGAAAGCTATGGAATAAGCCAGTATCATACAAATGAATTCAATCCCGTAAACATAAGCCTCCGTGGTCGTGCCCAACAGGGATATGGCCGACAAAAAACTGGCCATTATGCTGGAGACGATGGGAAATAGTGTGAGTTGGCGATTGCCCAAAAGGAGTGTCTCTATATCGTCCGGTTTCACCTGATCGTGTTGTTGTTTGCGACGAAACCACTGGTTGATTTGCTTGCGAATCGGTGTTCGAAATCGTTGATACAACCCAACAGCCAAATAGATCAATAACCAAAAAGCAAACATCACATAATCAGACCAGTGGAATGAGACATTCATTTTGAACGGTGCACGTAAATTCAGGTCAACGGTTTCGAATCCGAAGTCTGGTTGACTGAAAAGTTGGAAAAACCGATGGGTAAAGGAAGAAGGCTGATAAATTACCGGGGTCTCAAAATCTGGCTGGATAAACAGAGGTCAAACGAACCTCGACCAATCAAATCACTTCACATTTTTGCTTAGTCTGCATTCAAATGAGTCCTGTTTTGGATTCGAATTCATGAACCATTGTTTTTATAGCAAGGGCGAAATATGTGATCATGTTCGTTAGAATACAGATGGCTGCCGCACAGATGACTGTCTACTTCTTCGGGTTTTTCCCAATGATATGTGGAGCAACCATGTGCCACAGAACATATCAGATCTCAGTGGAAACCGTTTTGATCTAATCCCTTTTGTTTCAGTGCTGGGAATGCTTCGAGTTCGAGATGGCTCAATGGTTGAGGCGTAAACTTATCGGCCGGAAGATCCGTGGTTCGAATCCAACCCTGCCGTGTCGACTGCTCGTGACTAGGTTTGAGCACAACCTGAGAGTATCTCAGCCCTCATGATTCTCTCGGGTGGCATAACATCTAGGCACAGAAGTGGTCCTACAACTGAAAAGCTACTAATTCGACTATAAGGATGTATGAGTCAGCAGTAGAGTTCTTAAAACACGGCGAATTATGCCACAACTTCGGGTACGAAAAGCCTGAATGATGACAGTAGTCATCATTCATTGGTTTGGCGGTGTTTACAACCGTGTTTGGTCCTGTATTCGGTCTCGGTAATCCGGTAATAGACCGCAGAAAGCCATGTGTTCTAGGTTTCGTTTATCAGTAGTCGTGTAGGCTTCCAGTTTATGCGATGCCAACGCCATTGCGTCCAAATAGTGGAATGCTCCGGTCTGGTCGTAGTGTTCACGGTGTTAGAAGTGAGCTTTTGTAACCACCCTTGTGCAGAACAGGCTGAATATCACAGGTGTGTCTCTATTATAGGTCGTTTGTGGGGTGCAGGCCAGCAGCTTACCTGTCACGTGAAACTGTTCATCTGTAGCCACGTGACTTGACAATAATCGGCCGTCATTTGGGAATCTTGTTTGTTTTAGAGCAATACCCTATTTAATCCTGCGGTTTTACTCCTTTAGGTTTACATTGGTAATAGGAATTTCAACGGTGTGCATATGTGACTCGTCTCAAACTGCATGCAGTGCCAGGTTCGTCCATTTAGCTCAATATCAGAAATCCACCCCGGCGAGGGTAACTTCGTTGACCAAGAGGGGCTGTTCAGGTCGTTCCATACAGTACCGATCGAATAAATTAGACGAAGGACAACTTCAAATCTTCCGGCTAATGTGCACTTAAACAAGACCATATACAGACTCTCTTAATCACCAAATAACTCACTGCTTTACGATATAAAGTGGACACAATGTAGCCTAAATATCGGATTCCCATTTTAGTTGTCCGAACATTGTGGACTGGAAACCGCGGATATCTGCAGGTCTCTATACCAACACCTTCCGTCAAGGAAAGAGCTTCTTCTGAATATTGGAGGTGCTCCCACCGAGCTGTGGACTTCTCAGTAAACCCAGAGAAACGCCTGCAATTTCCGGTCCTCAGAACTGTTCATCCAACCCCCATTGGATGGGGACAACAAAAATGTGTTCAACATGGTGATTTCAGAGAGTCCGTCTCGTAAGTATGGACCGCTCACTAACTCGCCACACTTTGTGAACTTTGTTCAGGTTGATTCGGCCGTTATCAACACTTTTTATACAAAAATGCGTTTTCCAATTAATGTATTGTGTTTACTGATTGTTTTTATGTTCATCTGAGAACTCTTGATTTCCGAATGGTTAAGATGGTGGATGCTGGTGAGCGGTTCTCAGATGCACCATGTTGCGCGTTTGTACGCGTTTGAATCTAAAGATTCATTTGATTCGGACGAAACGAAAACTTCCACCCTACAATGGCGTTGCGATGACAGCAAATGAAAATCTGGAGGACGATTCTCGCCGGATAGCTGAGTCACGAGGTCGCTTTATGAATACTTTAAAGGTGCCCCCAGGAGAGGTGGGTCCTAGAGGCCATGGGGCATCAAGTAAATCCGCCAAAGATGTCATTCCAGGGCAGTTCTACCATAAAGACGTCATTAGGGCGTGTTACTCTATTGAGACTAATTATCCGAACGGAACACACTATTCAAAAGGTCGCCGAAAACTCACTGACGGCCGATTGCCTTTTTTCCTCTTCTCTGGCTCATGATGTAGGCTCAGTTTCCAAGCTTCCGTCGGTTTCCTTGGACACAACCTGCCGCCACTTCGCGGCTCAGTTCGATGACCGAAGCTGGTCCGGGGATCCTAGGCTTGCCAATTCACTGTGCTCCGCTCGCAATCCTACACCCCGCCTGAATGGATGTGCCTTTACAGATTTATCAGTGTACTTCAAGCACCTTCCATATTGCTTTCACAGTAAAGAGCTTCTAACGTCATCATTTCGAAGTCACTCAGTGAAGACATCCGGACATAATACGAGAAAACGTACTACTCCAAGTAGACTGCTTGTCCTCCAGTGCGAAACATTTGGCGATGTAGGTTTTCACCGCTGGTGAAAACAAGAAGTCTTCATTTTGTTGAAATGTTGGTCACAAAAACCTGTGGTTTGTACGATCAGTTCCAAAGCCTCTGGGGGTCCGTGAGTTGTGCACTGATTCTATCTCTCAATGCAGTTGAGATCAGTGTACATTTACTTCCCTCTTTTCCGAATGGTTGATCGTGCCCATGAGCATCATTCAAGCAGAATTTCCGGTTTTCGTGGCTTTTAGCCGGAAACACAAGCAACCAGATGACTCCATTAGCCGTATGGATCTTTAAATGTCTTTAAATGCCATCCACGTTCCATCAACCAGTGATACACTTCAGAAGAACAGTCACCGCCAGACAACCCGACAGGTTAGGGGAAATATCGACCTGACTCCGCGTTGGCTCAAAAGTTTTTATTACATTTTCAGGAGGCAGTCTGAAACGTTGTAGTGGTGTAACAGTGGATACTACTGATGGAGCTTGCGAGTAGCATACTCTCTTATAAATCCGCTTCGCGTCTCTTGAAAAGTGAGTAGAGTCGCATTTGCTTGCATTCGAGCAACAATATCCAGAGAAGTTCAGGAAGACGCGTTCAAGGAGAAGATGGATGTTCAGTTTTTGTAAACAAGACGCATATGAGAGTTTTGCTTCTCTGTCCAATAGTCTGTAACTGTTCATTTGGCGTTTTCTAATAAATAACTCCTCAGGTAGGGCGTTCTTCCTTTCACTGGTAGGTTCCACTAAAAGTTACAGACCAATCTACTTGCAGCACAAAGTACATTTGTATTTATCGCCAACTGATATTGCCACTTCGACATCTGCGTGTCATCATCGCCTGCTATTTGACCGGACTTCCGGCTGGAATAAGATAAAATCGGATGTCCCCGTCGCCAACAATAACTACGAAGGCGTCGTCTGCTTCTGTCTTTTCATAGTCCTTTGATGGCGCCAATATCAGTTGAGCCGCGCTGCAAGTGGATGCTTCTATCCAAACGGTTCACGTTAACGAGTGCATCACAGTAGACAAGTAAATGTTTTGTTCAATCTGCTTAAAACCGATATCATCTTTCCAACCGTTACTGTTCACTTTCATCTTAGCTGCATTTCACGGGTTTTCGGTGAACACCAAAATGTCAAAACTGTCGGGGTGCCTAAAACAACCTTATTCAGTGAACCACAGTAAACTCTTTCTATTCAACCCTCTAGGAAAGCTCGACTTTACCCGTTTTGTTCAAAGAGAAAACACTAAGTTCTTCAACGTACCTTTCAAATTCTGACGCCCGGGTCCGTTATTCACTTTCAGGTCCAAAATACCTATCCTCAAGCAGGGTGTGTAAGTAAGGTTGCGTGAGCGATTGAAATTGTTCGTCCGTAATGAAACATCCCGAGAGACGTTTTATGTCCTTCAAGTTGGTAGTTGATTGGCTACTAGTTCCTCTGAGGTGATAGAGTCTGGTCTCGAGTAGGCTCTCAGACGGAAATTACTTGGTATACGTTTTGAGAGGTCGTGTAGCACCAGATAACTTAATTAGCCACACTGTAACACTCTCCAAAAAAAACTTGTTTTCATCGTGAATGGCGCAAACCAGAAGGCTAACAGTCTATGCAGTCACGTGACACTAGTGAAGCGACTGCTGAAGGAAAGGAAATTCTCGTCCGACCTCTTCGGTGAGTCCCATATATCCTCCACGGGTCAAGCTCGCGATGGCTTGCGATTCCACCAAGCTGATGCACCTCTCGGTTGGAGAATTACACTTCAAGGGGAAGGTCGATTATTCGTCGCCAATAGTGACCGCTGACTGGCGACACCAGTCACAACTTTCAAAGCCCCATACTTGTATTTTTCACCCGTTTCCGTTGTATCATCCATACTGTACTTCATGTACAACTTCCGAAGAACTTCTTTCTTCAAGTTCATCATTACTTCATCGCTTAGAATGACTTCGATAGGCTTCTATTTCTTGATAGACCATTTGAGACTGGAAGTAAAACGCATCCGGTTTCTACTTTAAGTAATGCTGGCTTTCACAAATCCCCCATTTTTACCACCTCTTTGAGTAGATACTCTGCTTTTATACAGCAGTCACTGATGCTGCTCTGGATGAGCAAAGCTCATCGATTCGTTATTTCGGTGTAGACACACCTGGGCAACAGTTTGCTTTCAATCCATCGAACAAACCAATCAGAATTTGAAGTGCTTGATAAATGCTAGTGTGACGGTCTAATCGGTGAGAGTCACATGCAGATGTGTGTGCGCGCGGTTTAAATGGACAAATACCCTCGTTTTGAGAGCGGACTGAACACAATTCAGCTGAATCTCTGGTTTATGACTGTATCCTTTCAATTTGGGTTCAAGGAAAACGTAAGGTTGGCGAAGACTTCACTGGCCAGCTAAAAACCCCGTGATAGTCAGCTTGGAATTGAACTTCTGCCTGAG